TAAAACGTTTTATACGGTTTTGTAGAGAACTGAACGAGGCATCTTTTGGTGAAAAGAGTTAAATCTGTGCGACGAAAACTGACGGAGATATTGGTAAAATACTGAGAAGCTCATTATTCCTGGGACACCCGATATAATCACTTAAACAGAAAACGTAAGGAGTTAGCATTTTAAAATAGTCCGAGAAGAAAAATTGAATATTGTTTTTTTCTGCATGTCATTGTAAATATTTGATTCGTTTCTATTGTTGCATTTATAATAATAAAAATATGAAAAAAGTGATGGAAACCCGGAATATCGACAATCTTTAGTGAAAGGTCGGAGAATGTATTGGCGAATATTCAGGGGGTATACCGGTTAAAATCAAGTAAACGTTCCCCAATATTGACGATAGCTGGAACGAACAGTTTCCTAAGAGTGTGCTCGGGTATGGGCTTGATCACTTAGAAATTCATATAATGAAAGCATGAAAATTAAAAATGAAGTAGCATTTGGCACGCACAAGGTTAAGGAGAAAAAGAATTGATTTCTCCGCTAGAAATCATTTTATGTCACAGAAAATCCTAAATAATAAGAATCAAAGTAAAATTCTGATTTCTCATAATTTCTTTTCATTCCTCAACATTTTCGAGGATTTCCATTTATTCACAATGAGCAGATTAAAATCTATTTTCAGCAATAGAAATTATTGAAACGCATCAGTAATCAAGAAATTAATTTTTCCCTTAGTTCTAAATTAACAAAATACGGAAGACAAATGAGTAAGCAATATGACCGATACATTATGAATAGTGAAAAATATTGTTTTTTTTTAAAGTTATCATTGAAAGCCAGAAAAAGAAATTGAATTAAAGTGTCATTGATTGGTTAGCTACCTTGCTATTTGGTTTGCTAGCTGTTAAGTTTCTTAACTGATTCCTTATTTGTATTTTTCGATAGTTTTGATCAATCTAAGCGAAAAATAGTATTCCCTTTTTACATTTATTTTCAAACATGAGAATTTTCCTAACAGAAAATATAGTCCGCGATAATACTATTCAGTTACTTGAATAAAAGAATTTTCGGCTTGAAAATTTTAGAAAAAGAAAATTTATTTGAAAGCTTTATCGTCGAAATTTCTTTTATTATTTCTTTTTATTATAATTAAATAGAGAACGTAATGGTTATGTTTGAAAAATTTTTATGCAAAATATTTTCTGGTCAATGCCAATTAATATCTCTTCACCTTGATATAAGTGAAGCATCTCCTAGTATTCATCAATGTTTAAAGTCACATTCCTCGACTTTTTCATCAAATAATATTGTTGATCTATTTCATTCGAATTGTTTAACTTTACGTTATTTGCACATTCGTAGTCGATATCCATGTTTTCTTGAACATCTTATTGAACATGTACCTAATCTCGAACAATTAACAATTTGTTTTCAATATTTAAGAATGGATTTTGTTGAAGGTTATTCAAACATTCAAAAATTGGTAACGTCAAATGTAAATTGGTCTAATAAAGTAAGACAAATATAACATTATTTTAGGTATCTATCTTACGAGATCTTCTTTTGTAAAATTTCATCTTTTGGGTAAATGCTTGTTCACATCGAAAACTATTTATTGTGCAGAAAAAGCGAGAAAAAAACAATCTGGACAACGATCATATACGAAGATAGAACTCGTCGGGTCCAAAAGGTTTTCACACAGACCTGATCGCACTCTTGATATTCAATGAAAGTTTTTAATCTGTATCTAATAGCTGTTCTGAAACACATTCATTGCTCAAACAGTATTGAGGTTGATCTTGGGAAAATGAAGTTATAATTGACTCTTTTTTTAGTAGCGTTCATTGAGTCGGATGGAGTGTCGATGAATAGAAAATTTTCAGATCCGAATCCTAGTGGATCCTGAACCAACTTGACGGACTTGCCAGAGACGACTCAATTAAGATCACTAAACAAAATTTCTTTTCTTTTTTCACATTTTTTAAGTAAAGAATATTTCATCGTGAGTTAAAACACTCTGGATCACCAAATTTTCCCAACACTTTTTTGAGTCGAACGTCGGTGTGATTAAGTAATGTTTCGTCAATTTTCCACACAGAGTATTGATGTGATCTTTTGTTAACTCATTGTATTGATGCGTAAAAAGAAAAAAAATACCAAACTTCATCTGGTTTCAGCTAGGATCATTGCTTATTTAAAAAATACCCGGGACCGCGTTTCGAATAACTCGATAATAGAAACTGCTAGAGAGATGCGGTTTTCACCACTCATCAGAGAACACCTAGGATCGTCAAAGAATATCGATAAATGATTTGAAAACAATATTCCAGCCAGCTGAGTTCTTGATGAAGATTTTCGAAGACGATATTTTGATTTAAGGAGAGAGCTTTTGATATGACTGTCCGATAGAAAAAAATCTCTTCCAGTGTGATCTGCATCAAGCCGGCTTTTGTACCTAGTCTCAGTCCGAGTTATAAAGCGTTTTTCTGGAAACTTGACTGCAACTAGCTGATTTGCTATCGATAGAAAAGATAACTACGTAGAAATACGTCACTATCTTAGACAAGTAGTGACATTTGCATTTAGGTTTGAAATTTCATGATTAGAGCAGGGTTCTCGATTATTTTGAAAGTGAGAGGGGTTGAAAACTTAAAGACAGGGTCTCATTTGACGTCTTCACAGATGCTACACAAAAAAATCTAAGTGATCAAGCCCATACCCGAGCACACTCTTAGGAAACTGTTCGTTCCAGCTATCGTCAATATT